TATTCAAATATAAATGGGCTATATATTATACAAATAATCAGTTCATGGCTAGAGCCAATAAATAGTACACAATGGGTTGAAAGTTTAAATCGCAAAATTCATGACCATGTTCAATCAAATTCATCACTCTTAATATTGACAAAGGAAATTCAAGACTTATTGGATAAAGAATCTGAATATGTAAGAATTGAAGAATATAAAAAACAAATTCCTACAATCGGTCTTCCAACTATTGCGAAGACTTATTTTAATTCTATTGAGAAAGTTGTTTTACAATATCTTTTACCTGTGATGGTATTTACTATATGCAAGCAAATGCAAGAATGCTTTTTTTATAATAGCTTCTAAATGGATAAAGCTGCTATTAATTTCACAATACAAGTTAAGCATTAATTTCTTATTAGCTTTTCAACTACACTATATTAAAATATTTTGTCTTATTTTATATGACTAAATTAATGTTGATAATATTGAGAGTGCACAGGAAGATAATTATAAAGTCACAAAAATTTATCTTGCAGACATTATATCGACAATTAGTCTAAATCAAATTGTAGAAATTTGGAGAGTGGTTATATCCTGTGGATCTAAAAACAATTATGTTATATTGCTAGCAGATGGGTCGCATCGATGCATATATAATATGATTATAACTCATGGGTATCCATGCTGATATTTTTATAAGATCTTATATTGTTCTACTTAGGCTAAATGGCATATAGGACTTATAGCGACACGTTAATATAAAGACAGCTTTTTTGAAGGCAATAATGTTTGGCAGCAATCTCCAATTACTATATATGTAAATTCAAACCAAAATCAAAGTGATATTGAATATCCGGTATCCAAATTTGATTATCTAAAACAAATTCGAAGCATTGAAGTTTATAATCCAATGTTAAAAGATATCAATAATACCCGTCAGATGTATGGTAGAGCACAAGGTGTTATGCGAAAAGCAATTGATATAGCAATTGCAACTAGTTCATATGATGAGTTGATGGGTATTTGTTATAGATTTATTATGGACAAAAAAGAAAAACAAGAATCAGACACAATGATGAATGATATTGAATATGATATCAGAAATCCTGTGATTAGCAAACAAAGAGGACGACCACCCGGAAGAGCAATAAGTTGTGTTAAAATTCAAGATCAACGTCCTGAAAAAAGGCAGCACTTGCAAATTTCAGAAATTATTGAAAGACATGAAACTCAAGAGAAAGATACTAGGAAAACATGCAAAATTTGTAGAAATAAGAGACACAATAGAGCAACATGCAAATTAGATGATAATTAGAAGTTTATTGTATAGTTTTATTGTTTGCTATTGATAATATGTATGCTATATATATCTGTGTTATCAATTGAAAAAATGCTATTTGCAATGTTTTAGCAATTTTATACATTACTAGTTGAAAAAGTTTCCACATATATAGTTTGGTTAAAGCAAAATTTTACTATTAGTGGAATCAACCAGGGCAGTCTTCAAATTTGTGGATCATATAGGTGGCGCCACCTAGCGCTAGATTCAATATACACAATATGCAAATATGTAATGCAGGTTCAAAATTTTCATAGCAATATGTAGCACTATAGATCCAGTACTGATTTGTTTACTACAATTGCTTCAGGTAGTGTTACCTATATAACTGAAAAACACCAGCATTGCCAATAATCGAAAGGCAGTCATATGATTTTCGATCTTTATCTTATATAACCGGAAAAAAAATTTAAGTTCGTTTACTTTAGAGCTAGGGCGATCTCTAAGATTTTGGTAAAGCATTAATATATGCACAATTTAGCAATGAATTTTTTTTTGTTAGAACATGAAAGGCGATTTCTTATGCAAATTTTCAAGAAACAAGCGATTTTTTCAAAACAAATGTTTGTTTTGAATTTTTCTGATCATGTTATGCTATGCAAAATTGTTGGCTGATCATGTCAGAAGATCATGTGACTGCCCCCTAAATTATTGATTATGCTGGTGCTTTTTATATGACTGCATTTTTGATAGCCGCCCTGGTTGATTTTTAGTTTTGGGTTGATTAGGATATTTAATTAGAAGGTAATACTGTAGTTAGTATATATATGTAAATAGTTTATAAGCAATTTTATTCTTTTATTTAATTGATTAAAAATTCTAAATTAAATATTATAAATGATATAAATTTAATAATATTTGATATCACGTGATTGGGCGGTGATTTCCCCCCGGTTAAAATTAGAAATTCTCAATTTAAAATTATAATAATTACAAACCATATCTATCTACAGGTAATCTTTTTTTTTTTTTTTTTAAACTTAGACAGTTTTACCAGTGTTTTATTAAGATCATAAGTATAATATCAATATACAAAATACTAAATAAATATATTTATTTACTTTTAATTTGCAAACCTAATATTACCTAGCTACTTTAAAGATATCCAAGTAAAGCTCACATACTAATCTAAAGTTTAAGATTAGAGACTTATGTTAAACTAGCCTAATTGTTATACTAAAATAGCATATTCTTTTCTTGTATTCCTTTAACTAACAAAAAATATAATAAAGATGATAAAAAAAGAGGCAGTTTAAAGAAAAAAAACATATATTAAGAAAATGAAAATACTAAAAAGAAAAACAAAAGTAATAGAAGAAAAAAAAGTAAAAAAAACAAAAAAGAAAAAAAACTATATAATAGACAAAAAGGCTAGTCTAACATAAAACTAAACTAAACTAAAAAGAACAAAAGACTAGAAAATAGTAAAGACTCAACTAAAAAAAAACAAAAAGAAAAAGTTTGTGACAATACACTATTATAACCTATACCAGATAAATAAAAATTATATAACAACTATAACAATTGTATATTTCTCTTGTAAAGCATCATTTTAATATATATTTCTCCTTCTAACTGACCAACCATCTTTAAAAATCTCTTTAACCATCAGGTCTCAATTTGTCTTTGATCTAACCTATAAGATAGCACTTATAAGAAGATATTTATATGATTGGTTAATTTTTGTAGATCTGCCTATGATTCTTTATGATAATTAGCCAATCAAAATATATAATTATTAAAAAAAATTTAATATTTTAATTAATAGAAAATAAAAAAAAATTAATAAAGAAGCCAACAAATTAATAAATAAATGCAAAAAAATTATTATATATATTTTATAGAATAAATAGAAACATATATAGTAATATTTATTACCAATAAACCCAAACTTATTAAAGAATATACTAGCACTAGATATAAACCAAAGCTTTAATTTATGGTTAACAAACCCAAACATACTACAAGAACAAACCAAATTTAAACATTAAACTCAGATCTTCTACTATTAAAGCACTTGTATTTATTCAAAGCAAATAGCTAGCAGTAAAAAAATTTATTTAAATCTAATGAAATAAAGTAGTTTTAGATGAAAACATTTCTAGTTATCTCTACTCTACAGTATAATTTTAAATAGTTCAATAGATAGTGTTTTCTTAGTAAAGTAGATCAGGAGTTAGATTCTTTTTGAATTCTTTTGCATAGTGTATATTAATATTTATTCAAAGCCAAGAATGATTTTTATAATGATTTTTTATTAGAAAATGTTATATTCTTAAAAAGTATTCTAAAGTGTATAAATAAGTTATCCAGGTAATTAATTTACATCAGCCAATTAGATGAAAGTTCTTCTATAAGGGTAGCACTATATTTGTAAACAAATATAATACATGGTTGTATTCTACTAAGCATATCTAAATTAGAAAGTGTAAACAATGCTAATCTTTTGGAAAAAATAAACTAAATTGCTAGAGTTTAGAGCATGTGTTAAAAATTGGGCATGCTTATAGAGGCATATTCTTGAGTCGAAACATGCTCTTCATGCCCATGAGCATGCCTATTTAAAATTATATAATTGAAAACCGTCACTAGCCAATTACATATTATAAATAACAAAACTTGTACTAAGAGCTGTGACATATATTATGTAATATTTTTTTACTATAGAGAGTACTCCTCTTCCCCTCATATAAGATCTTTCTTATATAAAATTATATATAGTATAAGGTAATTTTTTACCTCCCCTAAAATATTACATAATATCTATCAATGCCCTAATAGTATTTTTTTTTTTTTTGTTTAAACTTTGTTTTAATTTTTTATTCTAGTTTATATCTTACAAGAAATAAATTTTAAATAAGAAAAACTTTATAATTAGTCATTTATCAACAATAAAGTATCACTAAATTTATAATTTTTGAGTTTCAAAATTATATTCTGTATCACATTTTGTATAAAATTATATACAAAATATATTTATATAAGCATATTTAATACATAATCTGATTATAGTATTTTTTTTTTTTTTTTTTAGTGATCATATCATATTTATTTAGAATAAAGTAGTTACATTATCAAATACTATTACTACTTCTAGTATTGAATATCTTATAACTAAAATACAACTTGTTTGGTTACTATAGGTATCTATCTGTGATCTGCCAAAACAAGAGTATGTCTCCTTCCTGCATTAGGATTACTTGCTAAAGGGGTTTACTGACTGGATCTTGCAGCCGATTATGATCGCATCCTCCTTTCTTTACATTTTTTTTACCTAAATCTGGGCGGAAGAGTAAAGCCCTTACTTTTATTCAAGAAGAGAACTCACTAGCCACAATTATAAAAGAAATTTAAAAAGCTTGAAGCTAGTTTAGAAAAAGAAAGAGAAAAAAAAACAAAAACAAAAGAAAGAAAAAAACAAAAGGTAAAAAGAAAAAAAAAAACAGAAAGTAGAACCAAACTCTATTCTATTATAACTAAAAAAGATGAAAAAAATATAAAAGAAGAAAGAAATAAACATAATCTGTGTAGTACTATTATAATCTGTACTAGGCTTAAAAATTATATACCAAATATAATATTTGTATATCTTTACTATAAAGCTATGCCTTAATGGAAAATTTATTTTTGACTATCTAAACATTTATGTATGGCTTATTAGATAGAGACTTTGTTATATGAAGTAGCATTGTATTTATTAGTAAACAAAACACATAATTGCAATCTACTGTGATGTTCCGATTTGTATAGAGTAAACAATGCTAATCTTTTGATGAAAATAAGCTGTTTTTGCCCACTTTTTATAAAAATTTTGTTGAAAAAATAAGTGGGTAATAGTATGAAGTATAGCTTTTATACTCTTTTTAAAGGAATGTATATTTTTTTCCAAAGCCAATAAAATGTATAGAGCCAAATATACTGCTAGTTTTTTTGTTGATAGGTGATAAACCCTGAACTTGTTAGCAAATAGCATATAAGGACTACTTCTAAATAACAAATGCTGTCTTTATAGTAAGTGATAAGCTCTGGGCTTGTTAACAAGTAGTATATGAGAACTATCTCTAATTAACAGGTGCCAGTTTATAGTTTTAACCAGTCTTATTTTCTTCTTTTCTATCATAGTTTACTGTTTTTTTTAAAAAAAAGTTTGTTGTGATTTTGGTACAAGAGATCATTAGAAAAAGTTGATCTTATAACCTAATTATGGTATTGAATTGACCAATCAGAATAAAAGATTATAGATTATATATATTGTCTGTATATTAAGGTTTTTATAGATTAGAGCTAGAGTTAAAACTATATAGTTTGAGGTTAAGTATGAGCTTATCTTTTAGACATAAAACATGCTTATAGGCATGTCCTAGAGGTATATTCTAAGAGACATATTTATACTCCTTGTGTTCTAAACTCTACAAATTGCTTACTTTTTGACAATAATTTTGAAAGATTAGCTAGGAAGTAGAGAAAAGTAAAAGGAAAGAGTTCCTTGTACTATTTTTTAAAGAGTATTTATTTTTTTGCAAAAAAGTGTATTTACTCTAACTAAAAGGAAAGTAGAGTATAGAAAGCTTTTGCTATAGTGAGTGATAAACTCTAAACATGTTGGCAAGTAGTATATAAGAACTATCTCTAAATAACAAGTTTTACTCTTGTAGTAAGTAATAAACTCTAGGCTAGTTAGCAAGTAGCATATGAGAACTATCTTTAAATAAACTAGTGCTGACTTATTAGATAACTATCTTTCTTTTTATATTTTTAATAACAAATTTTTTTTGAAATTTTAGTTATTGAAAATTTGGTACAAAGGATTATTAGAAAGAGTTTTTTTTTGTTAAAAAGTATTCTAAATATAGTTTATATGATAAATTTAATATTGATTATCTAAATTTTATATAGAAATTTTATATTTGTAAAAGTTTTTTTTATAATAATCTCAATTTTATAAAACCAAATATTTATAGTTTTTTAAGCTAAAA